GATTTAAGTATCTGAACCTGCACTTAGATTTGTAATGACAGATTTAGGTACCATATATACTCGTTCATAAGCCAATTTTTTTTTTTTTGTTAAAAAAAAAGGGAAGCACCAGAGAAGGGGGTCGGCTTATGAACGGGGATAGAGAGGGAGAGGTGGGACTCAGCCCCTTCCCCTAACAGAGGGAGCAAGGAGGGGCAGCATAGCCAGAAGGGAAGAGGCGGGGCCAAAGTCTCTCCGCTTCTGGCCACACTGCTCTTCCCCTAGCCTCCGAAGCAGCTGCAGCTCCGGGGCTGGCAGGCTGCAGCGGTGCCGCTCGGCCCCACCCCCCAGAGCAGGCTGTGGCCATGCCACCCGGCCCGCTGGAACATGCTGCGGCCGCGCCGCCCAGTCTGGCCCGCCAGAGCAGCTCCAGCCAGGCCAGAGACATCCTCCCCTGGCCCTCCCCAGATAAGGTGGGAAGGGATGGGATGGGGAGAGTGTGGGGGTCCTCGGCTAGGGGTGGGGTCATGTGGGGGGTGGTCACAGGGGTTACTCCACTGACCTCTAGCTTCTCCCCCCCAAAACATTTCCCCACCAGTTGCTGTCCTGGCCCATCAGGGTAAGCAGCTGGCGCACTGGGACACTGTTTACTTAGGTTTAACTCCATGCCTGCGGATGCTTGAGGTAAACAAACCATCTCGGCCCGCCAGCGGCTTATCCTGATGGCCCGGGAGCCAAAGTTTGCCGACCCCTGAATTATAGGGTCGGCTTATGAACGGGTCATAAAAATTTTCCATTTTTACTTATCCATCTCGTGGGGGTCGGCTTATAAATGAACCGGCTTATGATCAAGTATATACGGTACTTACCTGTATGCACCCAAGTTTGAAAATTCATCTTTGTATTATCAAAAGAATCCAAGATGATTTATGGTTAGAAAGTCATAGTTCTCAATGAAGTGCTGAAAGATTTCAGTTTTACTGCATTTTTGCAATTCATTCATGCTCAGTCCACATTCCTTCCATGGTCAAGGCAAAACAGATTTGCTTTGCAAAAGTCTATGTTCAGTTGTGATTTACAGTAAGGTTTACGATTAATGATTTTATCTTCTTTGTCACTAATTTTAAAAGAGGCTTAAGAAAATGCAACACTTTATTTGGAAAGAAAGAAGATAAAATTTGGGTGGTTTTAAATTATGAAATTTTCTTATCACTCCGAGTGATGGTGAGCACACTGACGAAATCACCATTCCAACATAAGTCAGCTAAATCTTGCAAACCACGGGGCTATCAGTGCACTAAGGCTTCAGATACTTCACCAGGAGCCCTGATGATCATTTCTGCTCCTTCTTTAGCCAGAGTCCTTAGAAGATACTCCCATTCTAAGTTATTCCTAATTATTTCCCTCACTACACACCATCAGTAGTTTGAAATGATTCACTACCACCCAGAGTAAAACTACATACAACAGGAAATTATACCATGACTTAAATGACCTGATTTTCAATAAATTGGGGTTCCTCAAAATTAGGATACCTTATTTAATTTCATGGGATGAGTGGAGAAGGCATACAGTGACGTGCAGGAGAAAAGTGGCACAATGGAGGGTTGAAGGCAGCTGATAAAGGACACATCACTAGTTTGGGTTACTCACACTCTACCCCACATGTAAGCTTCTTCACGACTGCCTCATTGGGCCTCTCTAACCGTCAGTTTCCTCTGTCCTAACAGAATGCGCTTTGCTTATCACTCCAAGTGATGGTGAGCACACTGACGAAATCACCGTTCCAACATAAGTCAGCTAAATCTTGCAAACCACGGGGCTATCAGTGCACTAAGGCTTCAGATACTTCACCAGGAACCCTGATGATCATTTCTGCTCCTTCTTTAGCCAGAGTCCTTAGAAGATACTCCCATACTTTTTCAGTAAACTTAAGCATGAAAAGGCAGCTTTGAGGGAGGGTTTTAAAGGGCCAAATTTGGAGCACAACGGCGGGGTTATGTTTTGCACACTTAAACTTCAGGACAATATAAAAAGGCCTGATTTAAGATATTAGCAAGCCATAAGAGCTATCAAGGGCTCAAAATGAAAGCAGAGGAGAGTGCATATTTTTTCTTACCCCTTTGGAGGCGCTCTCACCTCCAACCAAGAAGCTTGATGAGAGAAGCAAGGAAATCCTGATAACCTTTTTTTTTGGGGGGGGTGAGGGGGGAGCAGAGTTTGGTGTACCAATCATATGCATAAGTCAACTTCATAACTAGCTTGTAGCAAAAGGCACTATATGTTTCCCTTTATTCTGTCTATCCACCTACTGACAAGGATACAGGAATATTGCTCCTGCTAGTGTGCTCTAAGGTGGAGGAAATAGTAGATTAGGCCAGAAAGAACTGGGCAGTAACAAACATTTTGTACTCCTGCCCAGTCTTCACAGAAGAGACAGTCATCCATCACTCCAGGCTGGTGTCCTCCAACACTGTGGAAACTATATTTTAATCTAAAACTTGTTTTTGTGGTAAAAGGACAAACTCTTTGGTGTTTGTGAATCCAGCAAATCATTTGTTTTCTCCAGTCTGTTGGCAGTAGAAACATTTGTATATAGCTTTAACTTACTCACAAAAGCAGGACGTCACTACCTACCTGTTAAGTTCTCTTCATGCTGGCCTTGCCTCCCCTTTTTTTGTTTTCCTCCCCCTATCCTTTGCATGTCTTCTTCCAACCTATTTTTCCTCATCCTCTTCTAGTATCCTTCACATTCCTTCATGCAACCAATATGAAAAGCTACCGGGGTTGTTAGCTATACACCCATGAACTTGAAAGGCAATGAGGTAGTGAATTTCTGTATGCCACAAAGAACTTAAAAATCAAACTACCACAGTAGAACCTTAGTAAAACACATTAATGACAGACAACAGAGCTTACTTTATAAATATATTCCTTCGGGGGGGGGGGGAGGAGGGGGGATTTTCCTCCCATATACATGCAGTTGAGGGTTTGTTTTGTGTTGGGGAGAAGAAGAGGGTCAGAGGAGAGAAGTGAATATTTAAAGTATTTACCACTTTCTCAGTTTTGTTCTTCATGACCTTTACCTTTAGGCCAGGTTTGGTCATATAGGGATCTTGGAGGTTCTTGGTCCTTCCTACAGGACCCAATGGATACCTCCCTTCCACTCTCCAGTGCTACCTGCGGTATGAGTCCAAAGAGTACAAAGCCTGGGATCTACTCCGGATAACTGCTACCAGGAGGCAGAAAGCCACATCAGGCACTGTAGTGAGAGCTCTACTCTTTCTCTTTGGCTCAAGAGATCTGGGATCTCACCTACAAACAGGAATGTTGCTGAGAAAGTTGCTACTAAGTCCATCACTGAAAAGTTAATTAAGGAGAGCTGCTCACTCCATTGACCAGATCTTTCTTTCCAATTCCTGCATGCAATCACTACAATTGCAGATATTCCAGCAATGAGGAAGGGAGAAAGAAGAAGCCAGGATCCTTCTCTCCACATTTCAGTCACTGACTCTAGAGTTGAGTAAAGACAGAACAAGAGATCATTGCTTAACAGGGACTATAGCTGTCATATAGCTGAACAGGAAAAGAACTGCAGGAGTGAGCAACTAGTGTGCGATCAATATGAATGCAAATTGAAATTATATTCCAAGGAGCTCTACGGTGACCAACTGAATTTTGTTAATTCACAAGTGAACAATAAAAACAACATTGATTATTGTATTTTTAATTTTATATACTAATAAACCTACTACATTTGTGTAAAACAATATGCATCACATCATCTTCAGGTAAAACACTGAAACATAGTTCTTACCTCAACAGAGCATCGAGGAGTCACAAAAAATTGATTAAACTCATCAGGGCTGAACTCCCCAAAGATATAACTAAAAAAAAAAAAAAGAAAACACATTGTTATATGAGGATTTACACTTTGTCTCATTAGCAAATTCAAGGTAGAATGATTTATTTTTAAAAGGAGCAGCGACATTTTAAAGGTTTGTGTGTGGCAACGGGAACTAAAACTACTATCTTTGCATCCCTGCTCTCTTTCAGATTCCTTTCTGTTGCCCTGAGCAAGTTACTTAATTTTTATAGCCTTGTCTACAACAAGCTTTTTCTTAAAATGCTCACTTGTACACTGGAGTTCCAGTTACTCTGACAGTTTTACAGAAGGCCCCAATCACTACAGGTCTTAATGTTAAAAAAGGAAGATGAATTTCGAATTTACAGAAAATTCACATAGTAAATGACATAAAATCCCCATGGAACTGTCTAACAAATTGGGTTTCATAAGGCTCAGTGCTGGGTCCAATCCTATTCAGAGACTTAGGACCTGTCTACACTTACAGTGCTGCAGCTGCGCCACTGTAGCGCTTAGTGAAGACGCTATCTATGCCGGGGTCGGCAACGTTTGGCACGCGGCTCGCCAGGGTAAGCACCCTAGCGGGCCGGGCCAGTTTATTTACCTGCTGACGCGGCAGGTTCGGCCGATCGCGGCCCCCACTGGCCGCGGTTGGCTGTCCCGGGCCAATGGGAGCGGCGGGAAGCAGCGCGGGCGAGGGATGTGCTGGCCGCGGTTTCCCGCCGCCCCCATTGGCCTGGGATGGCGAACCACGGCCAGTGGGGGCCGCAATCGGCCAAACCTGCCGCGTCAGCAGGTAGGGGAGGGATAGCTCAGTGGTTTGAGCATTGGCCTGCTAAACCCAGGGTTGTGAGTTCAATCCTTGAGGGGGCCACTTAGGGATCTGGGGCAAAATCAGTACTTGGTCCTGCTAGTGAAGGCAGGGGGCTGGACTTGATGACCTTTCAAGGTCCCTTCCATCTCTAGGAGATAATAATAATAATGGAGATATCCTATTATTAAATAAACTGGCCTGGCCCGGCCCGCCAGGGTGCTTACCCTGGCGAGCCGCATGCCAAACGTTGCCGACCCCTGATTTATGCCGATGGGAGAGCTTCTCCCACTGGCTTAGATACTCCACCTTCCAAGAGGCAGTAGCTATGTCAACGTGAGACATAGTGCTATCTACGCGGGGTTAGATCCACACCCCTGAGCGACACAGTTATACCGACATAAGTTGATAGTGTAGACTATGGCTTAGGAAGTGGAACTAGTTGAATGGTGTCCAAATATACATATGATGCAAAGTAAGGTCATTGGCACAGTATAGATTATTAAAAAATAGACTGAGAATTTGAATAAACTGAGGAAATAGGCAGAGGACTGGAAGAGACTAGTTTTCAATGTCTAGAAATATAAGATGATACAATGCATCAGACAAAGTAGCCACAGAAATTGTTGATGGTGGCCAGAGAGGGCCCAAAAAAAGGGTGGTGTTGCCACAAAGAATATGACTAGGTGCTTTTCCTCAGCAACTTCCAATGACAACAGTGAAACTCTCCCACATCATCCACGCCTCCCTCAGAAAACCCAGATGAACAACAACAATGCTACCAACGCCTACCCTTGCTCAAGATAAATCCTCTTGGCCATACGGAGATGTACGTATCCAAGTCTGGAGTTGTGTTACATAAAAAGTTATCTGAGAGTTAAAAATGTGAGCGGCTGTTTCATCTATAAAATCAAAGGCTGGGTTGTGGTAGGTTATATAGCCCTATTGCATTTTATATTTTTAACTCAGTTTCCTTTCCTTAAAGAAATAATAGGTGGATACACTAGTAATTAAAAAAGGAAGTTTAAGCTGCAGCTCCAAGCAACTGCAAAAATATGCATAAGATTTAACATTTTTGAACTTGGAGTCTTACAAGAACCTGATTAAAAGTATTTCTAAACATAAAACTGATATACACCTCTACCCCGATATAACGCAGTCCTCGGGAGCCAAAAAAACCTTAACGCGATATAGGTGAAACCACGTTATATCAAACTTGCTTTGATCTGCTGGAGTGCGCAGCTCCCCTCCCCCCCCCCACCCCGGAGCACTGCTTTACCACATTATATTCAAATTTGTGTTATATCGGGTCGCGTTATATCGGGGTAGAGGTGTACATACAAATATCTTCAGTTCTCAATACTTCACACAAAGGCCACACATAAAACCTATTTTTCTCAAGACCAAAACAATCATAAAATCATAAACTACATACATAAAGTATCAGAGGGGTAGCCGTGTTAGTCTGGATCAGTAAAAAGTGACAGAGTCCTGTGGCACCTTATATACATAAAGTAATTTATCAGCTTGAAGTTAAAGACCAACGTATGAGACCATAAAAACATTAAGTCCTTGAAGGATTCTTTAAGCAGCTGCTATATATCAGCTATTCAACACCCAAAAGCATCACTTAACACCTAAAGAACAGAACCCTTAAGACATATTTCAGAGAATTGCTCCATAGCTCTTAGGGTAGACCTACACTTAAAACGCTGCATTTAACATCTACCAAAAATGTTCCTAACAAAAACATTTGCTGAATCATGATTTGTTTTTATGAGACTTTTTAGGTGCAGGTACACAGCTGAGCCACAGTTGAGGTACTGAGGTTGACGCAGCAAGACTGTAGAAACTGCATTACTTACATTGACCCAAACAATCCTCCAAGCAGCTGTCTCAGTGCCAGACACTGACCACCCGGGTCACAATTATGAAATCCACAGACCAGTGGTCATGGAAACTAGAAGCCCCCCAACCCCTCCTTTAAGCCTTGCCAATTTTTGAAATACCTTTTCCTGCTTGTCCATCTTGGTGACCACACCTAGCAGCTCTCCACTGTTGTATGCAACTGCCCAGCTGACCATGCCAGCTACATGATCTATATCTGGTCCAGCTTGGAGTAGACAGGAGATACTGGATCTCCTGAGCCTGTGGGGAGAAGAAGCTGTGCAAGCACAGCTACGGACAAGCTACAGAAAAGTGAACATTTCTGAGCAGATTGCAAGGGGGATGCAGAAGGGTACAACAGGGACTAGCAGCAGTGCCACATGAAAGTGAAGGAACTGTGTTAGCATGTCAGAAGGCCAGGGAGGCCAACAGTTGATCCGGTACCAAAACTTAGACCTGCATGCCATACTTGGAAGAGACCCCACTACCACCCTGCAGACCACCATGGATACCTTCAAGAAAGCTGAGTCATAGGGCCCAGGCATGAACAGCAAGGATGAGGAAGTGGAAGAGGACAGGGGAGATCTGACTAGTGTGCCCAGCTATGCTGCAAGCCAGAACCTGTTTCAGACTCCTCTGCAGTCCAGTTGGTCCTGGCAGTCGAGCATGGGCGAACCCAATACAGCTGAAGAACCTCAGGTAAGTGTGTAATCGTACTTCCCATAACAATGATGTACTGATGGTGCCCCCAATTTAAGAAGACACAGCTATCAACTTTTCATTAATTTACTTATACTAGAAGAGGTAGCAGTACAACAAAAGAGGTAGTGTTGTTATCTGCTTTTCACTTCCCTCTAGAGTTAGGCAAGGGGGAGCCATGTAGAGCAGTTTATGTACACAGGGATGTCCCTTGAATCCTTCTGAGAGATCTCAAGGAAACTTTCATGGAGGTACTCTGCAATCTTCTCCCAAAGGTCAAGGAGACTGGCACAAGGACCCAGTGGTAGGAAAGCAGACAGGACTGGGAGGGGACTGGCTGGAGGGGTTGGGGCAGGTGTTGTGCTTCTGGGGGAACAGGCACAAGAGTCTGACTACTAGAGAAAACTCTCCCCTCCAGAGACTTGGATGGAACCAAAGATTCCTGAATCTCACCATTCCTCTGCTGTCGGTAAATATTGTGAAACCCTCTGGCAAACTGCATCTCTGCCTACGTCCCCTTCAGTACTAGTCCACACAGAAAATGACAACTTACTAACAGTCATAATTCAAAAGGCAGAGGTCTGCTCACTGAATCTAAACATTACTTCCCCGCTGATGCCCCATGTGTCAATATGATGCCATGTAGTGTAAAATCTTTTTTTTTTTTAAACATGGAAATTATATAAAAAAGTGTTTTAAAAAATTACGGTTTTAAAGTCAATCACTTTAGGAAAGATAGGAAATGCCAGAATTAAAGATACTTGGGAAACCTTAATTCTTCCCACTTATTGTGCATACATAATGAAAGATTATCATAAAGCAATCACATACTATTTTTTTCCACAGGATACCTGCCCCATTCAGTGGATTTTCAGAAAGCCTTTGACAAGGTCCTTCACCAAAGGCTCTCATGCAAAGTAAGCTGCCATGGGATAAGAGGGAAGGTGCTTTCATGGACTGGTAAGTGGTTAAAAGATAGGAAACAAAGAGTAGGTATAAATGGTCAGTTTTCAGAATGGAGAGAGGTAAATAAATAGTGGTGTCCCCAGAGGTCTGTTCTGGGACCCATCCTATTCAAGATATTCATAAATGATCTGGAAAAAGGGGTAAACAGTGAGGTGGCAAAATTTGCAGATAATATAAAATTCTTAAAGATAGTTAAGACCCAGGCAGACTGAGAAGAGGTACAAAAGGATCTCTCAAAACTGGGTGACTGGGCAACAAAATAGCAGATGACATTTAATGTTGATAAATGCAAAGTAATGCACATTGGAAAACATAATCCCAACTATACATATAAAATGATGGGGTCTAAATTAGCTGTTACCACTCAAGAAAGATCTTGGAGTCATTGTGGATAGTTCTCTGAAAATATCCACTCAATGTGCAGCGGCAGTCAAAAAAGCAAACAGAATGCTAGGAATAATTAAGAAAGGGATAGATCATAGGACAGAAAATATCATGTTGCCTCTATATGATATTTCTGTGCTTGAATCTCTATTTCAGAGAACTATCCACAATGACTCCAAGATCTTTCTTGAGTGGTAACAGCTAATTTAGACCCCATCATTTTATATGTATAGTTGGGATTATGCTTTCCAATGTGCATTACTATTTATTTATT